AACACAAACCTCTGCCTTAATAATTTCTCATATCCTACGAGAACCGAATTCAATAATTGTTAATAAAAATAATAATAATAATAATAATAATAATAATAATAATAATAATAATAATAATAATAATAATAATAATAATAATAATAATAATAGTAATAATAATAATAATAATAATAATAATAATAATAATAATAATAATAATAATAATAATAGTAATAATCATAAAAATAATAATAATAATAAACCCCGATCTTACGTTAGAGGACAGCAGAAAGAAAGAGATTATGCTAATAGACATGGCATGCCCGTATGAGTCGAACAAAGACGAGAAAAGAGAAGAGAAGATAAGAAAGTACCAACAGCTTTGTTATGAATTACGGGAAAGACGGGACGGATATAAAGTGAAAGTTATACCAACGGTGATCGGCTGTTTAGGACGAGGGATGAAAAGACTGAAAGATGATATAAGAGAGTTGGTTAACAACGAGATTAAAGATTTACACTGCAAGATAAGTAGAGAAATGCAAAAGACTGTATTATGGGAAAGCGAGACAATTATGAGAAAAATACTATCTGGACTGTTGACACGAGATGTCTTCGAATAATAGCTGACAAACGTTGATAGCTATATAATTCGCCTTGATGTAAGAAGGGCACTGGTGAATGTAACAATATGCTTTTGGAGTTTTATTACGGTTTTATGAATTGTACTAGAAAATACATGCATGCAGAAACCCTCGCCTTGCTAGGCTGACAAAACCATTGTATTTTCCGAACATGAAGTTCTAAAGTAGTTGTCATGGTAACACGATATTTTTTAAGAATATTCTTACGAATGAAAAATCGCCTAAAAATATCACTTTTAATTACAAAATTATTACTTTCCCAACATATATATGTTAGGTATGTTATTATACGTAATATAAGCCTCAATTTAAGGTAAAATTCAACCTCAAACGCTTCGCAAAACGTTTTAAAGTCACTAGTGTTCTTTATAAAACTAAACTGCCTTTTAAAATGGCTTTATCGATAAACTTTGAGTTTGCAATAAAATGATTTCAAATTCTCGCTTGCAAATAACTCAGTGCTTTCTTTTTTATTTAGAAATTCAATATCATAAAAAAGGGAATCAATATTAAAGATACACTAAAATTATATGCTGTTTGTTTAGTTGTTTCATGTACGCAAAGGCCGTCGGGTTTTAATTAAAGCCATTATAAAATCAATATTTAAAACAAACTTACCTTCGTTAACGTCGGCTCCCTTGAAGTCCCTTCTTTTAGCCGATCCTTTCGCAGTTTCATTTTGAGAGAGCTTTTGAAATTTATAAAATCTTGCAAAAATGCGAGTAAAAATGAAATATATTTGCAAGAAATTTATCAATCATCAAATCAAGAAATGTTTGCTATTTCGCTGTCGTGATGCAGTCGTGCCAGTCGTTATAATGCAGAATTTAAATTGGACCAATCAGTGTCCGCTATTCATGACAGTCCGCCATATTTTTTAGATCAGTGAGGATGACTACCCATCGTTGGTCACCCACGCCCGCGATATTTGATGAACTTTAGACTCCGCTAATGCTTTCGTTTCCCCGGGTGTAAATAGCCGGGGGGAATTAGTACCCTCGCACGGCGCTTCGCGCCGTCGGCTCGGGGATAACTTAGTGGAGGCATCATTGTATTGTTGGTTAATTCTAATAATAATAATGAAAACTTTATTGAATTTTTTACGTATATATACAATTGTAAATTTCACTACTGACTTAGGTAATTTACAATTGGCTACATGAATCACAGAGTACTACATATGTACTATTTACAGTAAAAACAAGAATAAAATGGGTATATGATTATATATATTGTTATATGTAGTTATTAATTTAAATGTTTAACAATTCAGGGTTTGTCCACTCTTTGTTTCGACAGCAAAAAAATATAGTACGTCGCCCTAATGGCATAAGACGTCATCTTTTTTATGCAGTAATGTTGCTGCTTTTTATCCATTCCTATAGTAAATGTTTCTAACATTTCTAAAAAAGTGAAGCATTCTTTGTCAAACACATGCACCGAGAGAGCTCATTGATAGGTTTACAAATTTAACAGAATTAAAGTGACCCCTTTGATCTTCAATTAGATCTTTGTATTTAGCTTTTTTGCGTTCAACGTTATTATGTAGATTAGATTCAATCCCGACAGTAAGTTCAACGACATAAAGATCTTCATTTGGGGTAATTAGGAGTAAGTCCGGTCGATATAGGTCACCAGTTATAATTGACGGGCTTTTGTGGCCGGATAGGTCAGCATAAAGTTGACATGTATTTGTTGTTGGAAACGTTTCAGCGAGAAAGTTTAAAATAGAATCATGTCTCCAAGTAAAGCGGTGAAGGTACGATTGGCAGCCGGCTACCACGTGTAGTAGGGTTTCAGGACACAAACAAAAGGAACATTCGGGACTTGAAGCTAAACCCCATTTTGTAAGGTTTTTTCGCGTAGGAAGAGAGTTATTTATGTAACGGACGGTGAAGTTGAAAATGTTCTTTGGCAGTTTTGATTGAACGGCAGACCAAAGTGTGTTTAACTGTGAAAAGGAAAACTTTGCAACATTCGAGAAAAATGAATCTTGACAAATTAAACGGTGTTGAAGCTTATCTTCTTGTACAGAATGAAAATCCTTGAGAACTTCCTTTGTTGAATTATATATGTCGTACTGAATATTAGTGTGATTGTTAGTTGATTTCCAGATTTCTTTTAGGGAATCATTTGGGGATGTTTTTAAAACGTTGGGTAGGACAGTTTGACATTGGATAAATTTGACGGATGCAGGGAGGATATTCAGACCGAATTTGTTATGGGTTAGATAAATATTACTTAATGTTCCAGATATGGGTATTTCAAGCCACTTTCTGATGTATTGATTAATCACAGAATCAATTGTTTCCGTTACCCAGTGAGATGCCAGGATAAATATTGTATAGAATAAGTTTGTTTTGTTGGTGTAGAGGTTTATGGTCGATATCAGACATTAGTTCATCAATGAGAGACATTAATAATATATAATGAAAACTTTATTGAAATTATATGCGTATATATATACAATTATAAATCTCACTAATTTAGGTAATTTATAATTGACTACTTGAACCTACTTAATATTTATATATTAATAATGAGTATCCTTAAATGTTCAGTAATTCCGGATTTAACCAGTCCTTATCTCTGCAACAAAATATATAATATGTTGTCCTAATCGCGATAGACATAATTTTCCTGATAGCGAAATATTGGTGTCTTTTATCAAGACCTAGATCATTTAACATATTTAAAAAGGAATGACATTCTTTTGAGAAAACGCCTAAAGAACTAATTTACAAATTTACAAATTTTACAAATAATAATAATAATAATAATAATAATAATAATAATAATAATAATAATAATAATAATAATAATAATAATAATAATTTTTTTAAAACGTAATTTAACGAAGATAATTCTGAAAAGCAATACATTTCACCTGTATTCCCTAACTAGGACAGGTGATCAAATGTATTTAACAGTTACATAACTTTTAAAACGTTCAGTCTTTATTAGCGGTATCTTTGTATTGATTCGATTAAGATTTTACGTTTAGCATTGTTTTTTTTAAATGTTTAAAATATCCGACTTATCGAAGGTCGAACTGTAGGTCGAACTTAATTTTTTGAAACCAATGCTGAACTATACGTCAAATAATTATGTGTCGCTGTGATATTTATTTATCTGGTAGTTAATATCAAGACTTCCTAGCTCTTCGTGATCAGCTTGAACCGACTATAGTGTTTTGTCTTTAGTATTATTATAAAAGCATATCCACTTCATAAAACAGATCTTTGGCGAAATAATTTTAATAGTTTTGAATAGTTTTATTGGTTCTCAACACAATCACAAGAAGTGAAATATAGGGCAAAATAGTTTATACATACATGTAGCTACTATATTTCCTGTTTTCAATAATCTCGAACAAATCTCAAATATTATGCAAGTCAGGAAGTCAAAATGAAAATCCACACAGACAGAAACTATACAAAATAGAGAATATAGTCCCGCGCGAAAATTGAAATCCTGTTTTTTCTGACGTCCTACGCTTATTCCTAAAAATTCACTAAAAATAACAGTATTTTTTCGTGTTTCCTTCCGTGACTATTTTCTAAACCTCGTATGCTGTACACCAATCACAAAATGCATATAATATGCGAGTTTTAAAAAATTGTAGGAGCTGATTTTTCAAAAATTTCACAACACGTTTTTTCAAGAATTAAAAAATATAATTATTTGAAGTAACTATGCATTAGTAACACGTGTGGAAAAAACATGAGAAAGAATGCAAAAATACGATATTTTTTTAAACTACGGTAACCGTGGCAACAAGAATATATAACGACATTTTTCGTTAGTCGTAGTCCTTAAAGTTCTGAGGCAATGTTGTGTGGGAGTTTCGTGATCATATCTTGCTAATTATAAGGAAATAATGGGCCTTAAAGCACAATATGAAGCTGTGCACTATGCCAAATTTCATTATAATGTTTGTTTGCTTTTAGCGAATACTGATAAGGTGTCAACGTTTTTTTCACCGGCCTATGTATTGCTGAAATGAATAAATTAAACATGTGTTGTAATAACTTGATCTCATACAGTAAGCAGGATTTTAGAAGAATAAGTGAACGAAGCACGTCGGCTTTCCATGATTGCTTTGTCGTTAGTCTTACTGGCTTTAGTCTTGAAGAATAATAGACCTTACTATTGGTCAGCAGAAAATTAATGTATTTTGGTGTCTATGTTTACCTATTGTCGCCGTCGCTGACTCGTAGTGAAATCCCACAATCCTACACGAATGTTATGCTATCTTGATAAACTGAAGGCGGTGAAGATTCAAATCGGATACGCCTAGTTTTCAGGGTTTGGGACTCCATCTTGCAAAGCAGGATGAACACTATAGCAAAGTCATTGCCTCGTCCCAATGGGAATATAATATTGTCGCAAGCGTCATTGTATTCTTGCTCTATTGTGTTTGCCATACTGTAGCGGATATAATGTTTCCGTAGCGACCTATCCGTTCATTTCAGGGACGCTTCGAAAAGCTATTTTCAGAGGAATTATTCCAACGGAAAGATGTTGTTTTGCGGAGCTTCTGAGAATTATAAATTCTGAATCGGTGCCGGTGACAGCTACGAAAAGCTATCCGGCATTGTGTAATGGTAGGCTACGTGAACTTAGACTACGTTCACCGCAACCGGTCGGGGCGGTTTTGAAAACGACGCAGAAAGTAACGATTAACCGCTGCGTTCCACCCGTTTTCCCTTACAAAAAAAGTCTATAGGCCTGGCCTATAGGCCAACCTATAGGTTCCTATAGGAAACCTATAGGTTTTTATAGGCAATTGGAACATTTTCTATAG